AAAGCAACGAATTATTATTTGAATTTTTAGAAATTGCTGAAAAACTTGTAAAATTATTATTTAAATATTTAAAAACTTAAATCAAAATTAATTAGTTACTTTTCAAGTTTTAAATTCAGGAAAAAAAATATGGATTATTTTCTGAATTTTTAAAGTTGAAAAAGAATTAATAATATATTCTATGAAAATTTAGATAAAATTAAGCATTAGTATATGAATCTTTTAAAGTTTTTATTTGATTTTTATATGGACAAACCTTACGACTATATACATGGTTAAAATTTATAAAATTACAAAATAAATTATATATTATTTTTGTATAAATAACTAGGCGTATTGTCTTTCCAATTTATTGGTTTTAAATTTGATTGATATATTATACAAATAAAAATTATAATTACTATAGACTAATAATAATAATTATTATTATTTATTAATTAAAAAACAAAAATAAAATAAAAATAAAAGAGAGATAGAGGGGACATAAAGAGAGAAAAAGAGATGAGATCATGTCACTTTTTAAACTTCTAGATCATTTAACGTTATTTACTATGTTGTTTTTGACTTTTTAAATAGGTAGGGGTGCAAATAACAACTCCTTATTTATATACAAATAGCATTAAAATAACTAATATTATTAGTATTAAATTTCCATGAGTTAAATAAACTAAAACAATAAAATTAAAAGATCAATAATATATACAATAAAATAAGAAAAAAATATTAATTTTCACATAAAGGAACCCGGAAGTATCTCATATGACATATATTACTTACGAGCCAATATTGTGTCATTAACAGAATTGAACGTAGATGTCAACAAAAGGTTGGAGTAATGAAATGGAGCTTTGGAAGTACACATGGTGCAATAGTTTTATTGGGAGAAGACATGATATAGTGGGGTGTAAGTCAAAATTAGGGGGAAAAGGTGACACAATGTGATAGATAATTTTAAGTATTTTGCTAGGCTGCATGCAACATTTAGACAAAGGGGAGGTTGAGGATGATATAATTCACCACATAAAGACAACATGACTAAAGTGGAGAATAATCATGCATGGGAGTGTCGTGTGACAAGAAATTATAACTAAACTTGAAGGAAAAAGTTTATATGGATGGCCATGATTCATCACACTAACCACGTTTTAAATGTTGGATTGCTGAGGGACAAGTAAGGCTCATGAAAGAAAGTCACGGTGTGACAATTTAGGGAGCAAGGAATGGTAGGTCGAGAAGGATGTCGAATGAGTAGTTGATGACGAACATATTAACCTTGGACATTTTTGAGAATATGACATTTGATAGGAATTCTTGGAGATACATGACTAGGGTCTAGGGTAGTGAGTACTACTTAACTGTATAAACCTATAACTTGTTTGGATTAGATCGTCTAGTTTTTTGACAGCCCGTGATCTACGTAAAAGTGTCGGTAAAAATGAAAAGGGTAAATAAGAACCAAGGATAACAAAAAGAATAAGGGACTTAGAGAGGTAGAGGGTGGTACAATAGAAGCGTTAGGCAGCTAGCCGATAAAGTAACAAAGTCTCGTGATAGATTAAAGGATGTGTGTGTTTCCTTTGGTTTTATGTTTCATTGTGCCTATTAAAATTGTTACTTTTTGTTTTCTTGTTGTTGTCTATTTATTAATCTTGGTTTTTATTTCCTTCTACCTTTTCTTTTTCTTTAACTTTTTGCATAAATGTTGCTTAAATCGCTGGTTTTTAATAAAATAGACGTTCTATTTTTTAGGTAAAAGATCTACATACATTTCATCTCCAGACTTGAAATTTAAACGAGATGTAATGGATTTGCTTGATTTGATTTGGTTATAATAATAATAATTATTAAATAAGAAAAGTAACGATAATAATAATTTATACTATAATAAATTAAAATAATAATAATAATAAACTAAAAGGGTAATGGAGGGGGGCGGTAGTGACCCTATATTAGTCATTCCAAAATTGTTACAAAAAATACATTCCCTTTCATTCTAAGATAATGGCAACTTCCATTATTTCTCTCTCAAATCCAATCTTCATTCTAATAATCACAGCTCTATTTCTTCTTCTTTCGGTCTACATCTACAATAAGCCACAAAAAAAGGGGAAGACCACCAAGAAGTATCATCCAGTTGGTGGGACTAAGTTCCATCAGTTTATCCACTTTCGCAGGTTGCATCATTATTGTACTGATCTGGCTAGAAAATACAAAACTTATAGAATATATAGCCCTCATAATAGTGAGATTTATACAACTGATCCGGCAAATGTGGAGTACATCCTCAGGACAAACTTCGACAATTATGGCAAGGTATGTGCCCTAAATGTGTCATGATTTAGGTGTAACCAATTTTGGTTTTAACAGTACACAAATGGGAATCATTTCTAACCAACAGTTAAATATATCATTCACTCCATGTAAAGTATTTTATTAAGGTTTCACTTTTTGAGAGATTGTTATAACAGTTACTCCTATTAAATTCTTCTTACAAGTTACTTTGGTGCAAAAAATACTGTAGGGATCGTTTATGAACCACACCCTAAAGGATCTACTTGGCGATGGAATATTCACAGTTGATGGGGACGAGTGGAGAGAACAGAGGAAGGTATCGAGCCACGAATTCTCTAAGAAAGTGTTGAGAGATTTTAGCGGTGTAGTCTTCACCGAAAACACTATAAAAGTCGGCAACATTTTGTCAAAAGCAGCAAGTAGCAACCAAACAGTCGATATAACTGTAGGTTTCTCAATCTTTAATTAATTTTCTCACTGACATTTTCTTGTAATACCCTGTTGATTATTGTCATTAGAGCTAATCATCACACTCCCAATGTGCATAAATACAGGACTTGTTCATGAAATCAACAACTGATTCAATATTTAAAGTTGCTTTTGGAATCGATTTTGACAACATTAGTGGCTCAAATGAAAAAGGAGCTAGATTCTGTCGTGCATTTGATGATGCAAATGAATTGGTACTTCGAAGATTTTTTGACTTATCATGGAAGATCCAGAAGTTTTTCAATATTGGGCCCGAAGCAGAGTTAAAGAAAAATATCAAAGTGATTGATGACATCATTTATAAGTTGATTCAGACCAAGATTGAAAAAATGAGAGAGGGAAACGATGATACTTTGGTAAGCTTATATACTCTTTTTGAATAAAAGACATAGACGTATTAAGAGCCTCAGATGTTTTGAAATCCTTGAAACCAATATTTAATTCTTGATGTATTTTTTATTTCTAAATGAAAATTTTCCCGATAGACATATATATGGTTCACACTTTTTTCATTCAAACCAAGAACACATGTAAGACTAATTAAATCTTTCTTTTTTGTGGAATGTCCAGTTGAAGAAACAAGACCTTCTTTCGAGGTTTTTGCAGATCAAGGATATAGATCAAAAGTACGTACGAGATATAGTTGTAACGTTTGTTCTTGCTGGTAAAGATCCTATAGCAACTAGTTTGTATTGGTTCATTTACATGCTCTGCAAACATCCTCAAATTCAAGATAAGGTGGCAAAAGAAATTAAAGAAGCAACCAACATGAGCATGAAAGAATTAGAGATCACAGATGTTGCGGAGTTTGCAACGCGTGTGACCGAGGAAGCCCTTGACAAGATGCAATATCTTCATGCAGCTCTAACAGAAACCATCAGACTCTATCCTGCCTTGTCAATGGTATGCAACCTTAATTCGATCTTCAACACTTGTTTAGTTAA